GATTCTTTTACACATTCTCGCAGAACCATACAAAATGAATCCTACACCTGAGCCTAAAGTCCCTCCATGTACCACAGTATCACTCTAGACACATTCCGTAATAACTACCCAAGATGACTAGACAAAGCCGACAAGGTTCCTAGGACATCAAATTCAACTACAGTGGATGGAAAGTACTTTCTGGGAAATACAGGTGAGCGAATCTATGACACCAGTCGTCTCAACATATGTATATGTGTAAGATCAGGCATTTATTGCCATCAAAATCTCAATGGTCCAATGATTATTATTTCTTGTCCCCTGAAAGACTTGTGGTTATGCATAGCACATAATCGCCCTTCTCTCTCGGGAGCTGCTTCGTGGAACAGCAATTTTGTAGTCATTCGAATTCAAATCAAATTGAATACAAACTATGTCCTATAAAAATGCATAAGGATATATAAATAGTGATTGCATCATTTGAGTTTTAAAATGGCTTGTCCTTTTGCTGTTTAACTGCATTAAGTTGTTAGCACGAACATACCTGTACGGTGGAAATAGCGCTGAAGTTGTTTCTGAGTTTGACGCAGCCCAGACTATTGTCTGATTTTATTCACGTGGATATGTTCTTTTTATTTCACGGTATCAAAGAGTGAATTTTCCAGAGGGGAAAATCAAGTTCTTCGTGAACTGAACTCACTAGACGGTATACGGAACTGTATTTTGTCACTTCTAGCCGCGTTATTCAATTTGGGTATATAATTCTCTGTGCTATCACTCATCGTTCTTCCATTTGAGTTACTAAGTGGTTGCTGTTTGTCTATTAATTTAGGTTCCTTCCCATTTCTAATGAACGATCCTAGTATATCCCACACCTCGAGCTTCGAGCGCTAGCGCCCCAGCTGGGGCAAGATTGACTAATTTCGGCGAAACCTCTAAAGTTCCTTTAAGGAATTTCGGGAAAATGCAACTAATGAACCTAGGATTCGCCCAAAATTTTTGGGAGTTGTGATTCTCCCTTAATGAGGCGTTGCTGCATTGCAAAGTTCACAAAAGTCAGTATATTTAGCTTGAGAAATTATGAAATTTGGAAGAATCTATTAGTTAGGAATTGTGGACGCATAATAAAAGTCAATTATCAGTTCATAACAGTTTTCAGGGTGAGGCTATAATTTATGGACGACCTTTGGGCGACGCTAAAATAGCCTTGAGGATGTCCACCTACTGACTATTGCTCAATAACGGTTTTAAACCAGTCTGAAGGACAAGGATTGTAATTTACAGTTGGTGGTTAGGGATAGTGATTAGATTGAGGGTTTTCACTACGAACTGACATCAGCTAAAATGTTAAGACGCTATTTAGCCAAATGGATAGCTTCCCGCCGAAATCCAAGACCTGTTATCGTAAATCGGATTGGTTCGTCCATAAATTATAGTCTCGCCGTTTTCAGTTATGCAGTTCTACTGTTGTAGATTTTACAGAACTAGTGATTTTCTTTCTATAGTCATGAACAGTCCACTGGGGATTATTTGCCTGGTCGATTTGTCGTAACACTGTCAGGACTGGTCTGCACCATCACCCAGATTGGCTATACATCATGAATGAGCGTTAGATACGTCACGTTTCTTAGGTCTCACCAGTCCTGGTAAGGGATTGGTTTCCGATTAAATATCAAGGGGTTCACACGGCAGGAATATGGCTGTGGAACATGGTCGACAAGAGTTAAACACAGACGTAGCGTTCGTGCTTCTGATGTTGAGCGTCTCGAAAACACTGTTCAGGTGTTACAGGACGACCAGGTAAGCAACGCTGAGGTCATACGCAGGGTACTATGGAAGATGGAGAATCACCTGATGAGGCCATGTATGTTCACCGGTTGAGATGTTGCCGGCATGTGTTACGTGTAACAAACCAATACCGACCTCGCCATGCAATTTTGGCAAACTTAGAAAAACACCAGAAACAGCTAAACAATGGCCTGAGGTCAGTTCACTATGTCTCTGACTGTTGGTCTGAGCTATGTTTGTAGACTACCTAGTTGGCATCCGCACAATAATGCCAAACACTGGTTATAGATGATGAGTGATATGGTTCAGATGCAGGTGTTGTATGCTAGTGTTTCTCCACACACCTCTTCACCGATTTTTTTAAAACCACAATCTCAATGTTTATTATGACTAGACCATTGAGGAAAAGACAAAGTAGGGCTACAAGACTGTGTGCATAGAAATAGCGATATGTTTTAGAATCCTCAGCCATAAGTATTCCTATTATTCAGTGAATTAGTAATGGTGTGGTTTGCTTTAAAGTCCGCATTTTACAAAAAGCACTTTAATTAACGAACTGTGAATCAGTTCGTCCTGGTTTATTTCACGCTGCGAAATGTGACCATTAACGGTAGAGGATACTCGTAAATTACTAGTACTTGATCACAGATGTCTTGGAAACATTGCTCGAATCACCGGGTAAGTTATAGTGAGGCTAGACGCAGAGAATGATGGTAAGTCAGTTGATGAGGCTGTGAATCTTCATTGACTGAGATGATCGGGCCACGTATTACGCATGTTCAACCACCGATTACCACGGCACGCAATGCTGACCAGTGTTGGGTGCGGACGGAACAAAGTTAAGGGCGGCTAAACCGAAACGTGGCATCAGTCTTGGAAGTCACTAACTTCTGGTCTGAGCCATGTTGGTAGATGCAGATTACTTGGTCGGGGTCCGCGCGACTATCGTAAGTAGTATATATATATATATATATAAGCATTGAAGTAACTGCTTCTATGAATTTGGTGTTCATCTTGTTGTGCTAATGAGGTATGGCAACTTGGACTGATGTATATATGTGCCTGGTCCTACCGACTGACCGTTATGAGCATTATCCTTTTTCACCGATTCAGAATCATTTTCCCGCTAGTTATATCTTGGGTGAAAATATAAGTCTTATTATGAGGCTCTTTATGTGATGTAATAGAAAGTCATTTGCTTTTAAATGAGCCTGAAATTCGTTCTCTGGACTCCAGTCGCTTTGGTCCTACACTACAGTGATACCTGTTATCTCCTGTCTTTTGAGATTGCTGTCTTGGCTGAATAAGTTACTGGTTCCGAAATTATTTTTCCCTTCATGTATTTATCGTAAAGTCACCAATTACAAACTTTTAGAAGCTAGAGGCTCGGTCTTGTGTTTGACCTCCAACCATTTCCATTTTGATACTGTTTCGAGTCGTTTAATAGCTCCTCCGTAGCTCATGCATTTTACTATTGCTATCATCAACCATCTTGTTACTTGGCATTCTCATTTCCTCATTGTTATGTCGGTAATTGTCTTAATATTATGCAAATGGGATTTATGGAGAGAAGAATGGACATACACAGATGTACTTAAATATACGTACAGACCCCTGTATATTCTCCCTTTAACGCGAAAGATATGGAACCGAGGATTCCTATACGTGTTATGGAGTCATCAACTTACACTAAGATAGTAACTTTTTTTCCACGTTTCTCACTTCTCCCTTCTCTAAAGTAAACTATCACCATCAAATGTGCTCAAACGTTTCATTAAAGTCTACCTTACTAAAGAGCTTGCACTTTGCGTGATTTAACGTGCATTCAAGTCTATGAAATTGAACTGTTTGTTGACTGTGTATTCAGATTTATTCAGCTAAGTCATAAATCCAGCATTATGTTGTTTATATATCCGTACATAGAAATAGATCGAATTGGCGTTATGTTTACTGTCGACATGCCTTATCCCAGAAATATATTAGCTATAGTGGCGTTTTCTTTGTGAAATATTTTGTTTGATATAAATTTAGAAAACGGACTAAGCTGGATAAAGCCTTAGCAATTTATTAGTTAGTCCTTTCATGTAACATCCACTAGGATTAAAGGTTCACAAACAGAACGATCAAAAGGTAAGGTTTTCAAGCGAAAGAACAGTGATTTCATTTGCTTTATAATCACTGTTTTTGCTTGAGATAAGTCCTGAGGAATATAGCATAAGTTTAAGTGAGTCAAGCATTTGTAAAAGGAAAGATAACTGTCCAAAAGTGTTTTTTGGGTATATTCAAATAACTGTGGGGAATAATGAGTTGTTCGCATCAGATGATGAAAAACGTTGTTCTTAGCAGTTACTTCTTCAAAATTATTAATAAAATCGTTCAATTGAAACTGATAATTGTAACGTTTCATCTAGAAAGTAATATGCGGAGATCTGCAGCACCAAGTCGTACTAGTCAGTCTCAAGATCTGTCGATAAATTCCAACCTCGTAAAGACGGCTGAGTACAAGTCAGTTTCACACTGTTCCTCAAGTCTTAAAATGAACAATACGCCTACAAATTTTAATTTATCTCATGCTACGAAATGTTCCAGGTATTTCGAGGCTGTATATGCTAAAGCATCGACTAAAAAGGTATGGCGAATATCGTTTACCAGTTTTGCTTGCATTTTAGCATAAAAAATGGGAAGGGGATGGTAAGCAGTCACCAGTCTTGTTTGTCTCTACGTAATTTTTAGGTTTTATAGAGGTCGAAGGTCGAATCATAAAGCTTATCAATGAAGATTTGAAAGTGTAAGTGCTACTTTTTTAATGAAGGTAAATTTACCGGTTATTTTCCAACTATAGAATAGCATCTGCTTCTGGTCATAAATTAGCATTTTTAAATGAAATTGATATTGGTTCGGTTGTTCATATTGGGTCTTATGAAGCAGAGCTTATTTCACTGATAGAGAAGCCACAGTTAATTAATCTTTCCTCAAAATCAAATGATGGCACTGAGGCGTTACATGCACCGGGTAACTAGTGTATTGTATTGTATTTATTTTGTCCTTATTTCCAGCAAAAATTTCGACAAGCAAACCAAGCACAAACCTCAGTTTCTCACCAAAGGTACCGTTCACATAATATCTATTTCCGGAATAATTTCTATTTGAGTCCATTTTAACCTCAATCCTTTAATCTCTTAAAACCTTTTAAGGATAATAGTCTTTCGTATTTGATACCCTTAAGATCAACTTAGGAGACTAATAAATGATTACACTGACGTTTCGTTCTAAAATACAGAAGTTGAAGGTACATCTGCAGTTGTATAAACTAATTTTTCTGCCTTAAAACCTTAGTTTGACGGATGGAGTTGCTGAGACCATCTAAACAAGGAAAATAACTTCAAGATATTACAAGAAAATTATTCGATAAACTTAAATACTAAGAGACATTGACATACGTTTACAAAGTGTTATGTTGTCTGGGATTGCATGTGAGCATTAGTTACTCACTAGTCATTTCTTTGTGTAAGTTCTTGTGACAGATTGCCGTATACTTACTTCTATCCGTTGATAAATCATACTGTCCTATTTCAGTTTAGATTTTCAAACAAAACAGAAAAACCGGTCGGATTCTGAATGGCATCTAGAATGAATGAGTCAAATGCTAATTTTCATAATAAACACATTTCAAAGTGGTTTGTTTTCCTGTTTTTGCTGCATCAAATTTGTTTCATTCCACCGTCTAGTTTCAGTCGTTAAGAAAATTTATCTGCTCTGTTTAAGGGAATATTGAATTAGAAAATAATTTGAGCTCGATAAACTTGAAGAAAAATATTTGGGGCAGAGATTGGTCGACTTTCATCGTGAATATTATCGTTTCTTATCAAGTTTCATTCCTAATTACTGGAAACTAGTGTATAATTTATGATTGTTCTCATATTTACATAGTATTATTATCATAGGAAAAAGCCTGGTATGATAGGAGATCGAGAAATTTCCCACAAAATGTGAGCTAACAATATTGTAGGGAAAAGAACGTGAAAACTTAAAACTAATCAGTAAAGAAATAAATGTAACAAAATAAATGTTTATTAAACAATACTGATATGTTCTTAACGCAGCAAAGTTATATTTCACCTCATATAAATGCTTCCTCAATAACATTGTCTCTAAACGAATTGAGGGCAGCCTTGATGTATAGACAGATAATTTCCGACATAGAATACATATGATGGTTTTCAAGGAATTGGCAGAAGTTGGATATTTGACCGACCAATCTATACCTAAACTAAGACCTGTTTGCAGAGTATTACAGAAATGAATATTCTAGACACGACTGATAAATTTTAAACTGATGATTATTACATGCATTTGTCAGCTCTTTAAAAATGAATGCAGCAGCAGCAGCAACCCGTGTCTAGTACATAGCAGAGATGTGGATGTTTGTGAGTATTTAATGAACATAATATTGACTAGTGTCTGGTGATCAGTTTTTTAAATATACTAGTTCTGGATGATAAGGACTAGTTATCTCTTCTCTAGTAATGCAATTAAATTGTACGATTCTCACTTTGGCCTTGTGTCTTACACATCCTAAATATTTTAGTTAATTTTCTAGCATTGATTTATAAATTGCATGTATATTTCCATATTATATCTCACGTTGTGTACAACATAACCTCGATTTTGGTGTCTTGTAGACGAATTCCAAATCAAAACTGAATGGGTCCTGGGGTTCTTCAAACCATCTGGTTATGCCCAAGCCTCCTGCTAACTGCATTGTAAGAGTAGTAACTTAATTCTAAACCTCGTCATTTATTCACTTTTCTACTTATGACCGGTCAAATACAGGTCTTCATAATGTCAAACTATTATCTAATGTTACATGTTTTCAAGATTTTGATATAATTTAGTCTGATGGAAATTTAGGTATATGACTTATTATTTGTTTATTGAATTCTCAGTACATTTCCTATTCATTTCGTATTGGTTGTTTGAATCTTCCGATTGATGTTTAGGACTGAAATTGATCAATCTCTCATTGGCTGAATTAAATGAATTAAAACTTCACCCCATTGCACAAGGTAGTGGCTATCTGAACTCAGTAGCTAAATGGATAACGCGATGGTGTTTGTAGAAAACGGTACTGGGTTCGAGTCTCCGTAGTGAACATTAACTTTGAGATACATGTACATCCAGCTGACAAGTCCCAAACAGGACGAAACGTGCGTCCTAGATTCCAGTGCTAGCCACCATCCATCTCTGCTTATAATTTCCAATCAGGTTTTGATCATTTTAACACAAGATTACTGCCTATTAAATCCATTCTTTTGAATAATAATGATGACAAGTATAATTCTCGTATTTGAAGTCAGACGAATAATGATACTTATCGACTGACTTTAAGCCTCGAAGCCCCTTGAAAGTCGTAGCTCAGTAAAAAAATCTCTGTTGCGTCTGTTTACCGTCGCTATCAAGCCTCCAATCGATTGAAGCTAGGTTGGATACCGGCTTAGTGGTTTAAATGTTAAACGCTTGGCACCAGAACTTAGTGTCATGCGTTCGATCTCCAGTGGTGGTCTCGTGGATGAACCCTGCTTAGGAGTTATAGACTGGGATGAAACAGCTATCCGATCTCTTTGTTTTTAATAGCTGTCTAACTAAGATAAGTTCTTTTTGTAAATTATGAACAGTAGATGTTGGAATTCATTAAAATATATTAATAAAATTGATAATTGTCGCTTGATTTTGTTGTTAATTGTTCAAAGTGGCTAAAAAGAAACCTAGTTTCATTGCACTGTTAAAAATAGTTGTTAATTCGATTCCATATCATGATCAGAAAGCCAGACAAATAATTGAGATACCTTTATACATACATTGCTCAATTGTATTTCGGTAAGAAGAGTATGAATATCAATTAATCAACTCGTTCTTTTTTGTATAGACTTTTCAAAGGTTGATCTCTCGTTAGTTTACTTAGTCTAAATGATTAAATTAATTGTTTGACATGGGTACCTTTTAAGTTGTCTTTGTATTGATATTAGACTCCTTAATGACATATATATTTACTGAGCGTTTGACGTCGTCCACATCCCTTGCATCAAATCGCAACAAATATCCATGTAAACTCTAAGCTCATGACCAAATATCATGCACAGGTTATCAGTAGCGAATAAAAAAATAATTCTATTACATAAAATCACAACAGCTAATGTCAGTAGACTCTTTAAACTATGGAATAAATACTGAACGTAAATAAAATCGTTCTAATAAACGTCATGTATCCTCATACATTCTACATTAGTGAAGCTTAAGATTAAGGTGGTTGTTTGTAAACAGCAGCCCTATTAGTATATATATATATATATCCACTAATATGAGTAAATGTATTGAACAGAGCAGCCAATAAACCAGTTGTTATATTAGCAGTAAAGACAGTGTCTATACAAAAAATTTACTTTCATTGTTACTCATAGAGATTTAATATTCCCAGGTTCAATGTTAATCGTTGACTTAGTAGTCTACTTTATCCAGAGATTAATTCGTCGTTTTATTTTAAAAAAATAATTTTAGTGGTCTCAGAATCCCGACAACCTTCCCATTGTGGATGTAGTTTTAGAGTCGAAGTTTGCTTCACGTCTACAGCCACATCAATGTGAAGGTATTATTTTCTTGTATAAATGTTTAATGGGATTTCAACCGTATGTTGCTTTAAATGAATCTGATGCACAAATTACTTATGGATGTATTTTAGCGTGAGTTTGAACTTTTTTGGTCTAAGTTTTGACCCCACGACAAAGACAAGCTTTATCTGTATTTTTGTACTGACATAAACATTTGTCGATCTTGTTCCATGCAGGAAAAATAACCTGTATTAGAGTATTAACATACTGTGCAGATCCATCATATTCTTGATAAATATTTCATACTAACTTAATCCCCTCAATGAAATATGTGTTCACTCATTATCCCCATTAAATTAGGATTGATAAATAGAGTTCCTCAAGTATACATTGGTAAGCAAAAACCATAATAACAGGCAATACCCGTTGCGAAATTCGTATCTAGTGTTGCTCACCATCTGCATGAATACTCTCACAGCGTGTGAATTCATAAAAGTGACACAACTCTCAGCGAAAATATCAACAATCACTTTAATGGTCCATCAAATTGTTTTTCAAACCCATAGAACTACGTATTTTGAATTTTAACTATTGTTACTTAGTATCAATATTGCATACACAACAATCTCATCGTAAAAGTTATAAATGGGAACTTAATATTGTAGTGCAATAAATCAATCTGCATAATTAGCCTCAACATAAAAAGTATAGTACCGTTTTATTGTACACAAATCAATGAGTGATTACTACTGATTTATATCTTTATTATTGCCTTATTCTATTAAGATTTTTCGGTCTGTAAGGTACTGCTCTACTGTATTTATAACACAGAATACATTTGGTAGTGTTTAATTAACTTGTATTAGACTATGTGAATGTATCTTCTTAACATTCTTAAGGCTATATTTATCCTGCTGTGCGCTACTTCTATCTTGACTACAACACATTACCTTCGTTTTTATATTCATTATGTAAATTAGAAGGTAACGTCATTCGTAATAAGTTTTTGTTAATTTATTAGGGATGAAATGGGTCTTGGTAAGACGGTTCAAGCTATTGCCACCATTTGGTTATTAATTAGACAAGGACCGTACGGAGGTAGACCGGTTATTCAACGTTGCCTTATTGTAACTCCAGGTACACTTGTTCAGGTAATTGGTCTATTTTTTTTAAATACAACTTAATCTTACTAATTTTTTTGGCTTTTATCATATATTCTGCCTTTCCTCTCTTATTTACATCATGTTAGAATTGGCAAAAGGAATTCTCCAAATGGTTAGGTCGTGAACAGTTACCCGTGTATTGTGTAGATCAAAATCATTCTGTTAAAGTGAGTTTTTGCTTGATTATGTCCGATTATTCTGTTTTTCATTATTTGTTGAATAATTTGATAATTATTGAGAATCATGTAAACAGTATATGTAGAGCCAGTTGCTTAGCGGTTAAACAATCGGACTTTCAATAACTTATTTACATGTTTGATCCTTACTCTATCTACTTCGATTTGAGCAGCTGAGCAATATGATTAACACTCATGCTTAGTATGGTTCAAAAATCGAACACATGAACTGTAAATAAATTACTTAAACAGTTTGTATTTATATTTTTAATTTGATAACTTTGGTCTCTTTCTGGTCCTAAAGTCTCACGTTATGACAACTGGCCATTTTGTTTACATTTGACTGGAATGTCATCTGTAACGCATCCTAAAAGCAGTAACATTTTTATAACAACATAGAAAAATTCTTTATAACCATTTGTAATTTTTCGTTGTCGATATTCAGGATCAATCTCTTACCATATCTGCATCGTGAGTTTGAGTCTCAGTGTACATGTCAAAACCACGATGCAGGTGCGTTCAGCTGACGAGTCGCAAACTGGACAAAACGCGCCTCCTGAATTTCGCTGCTAGTCAAAATCCATCTTCTTTATAAGGCTTGTGACAAAATCACTGTATCAAGGCGATTTGTATATATCACATCCACATATTCCAACAAGGATTGATCAAAATTTTGTTCTATGTATCAACAATGGGATAACTAAAACCTGTACTAATGGTAATATAAACAACAATTTTTTTTAAATTTTTTCATTATTTTCCACCTTTCTTTATCGACAACTGACTTTTTTGTCTTATTTTTCTCCTTCAGAAATACCTAACAATGTCCAGTGATTCACCGCAGGTTATTCTTATGTCGTATGAAATGTTTCTACAGCATACTAGTGAAATCTATGAAATTTCCGACTTGGATATGGTTGTATGTGACGAAGGGCATAGATTAAAAAATTCCAATATCAATACAACTATGGTAGGTTGTTTGGATTTTGTTTATTGGTACACAGAATATGTAATATAACGATGGATCATTATATACGTATTTTAGTCGATAAGTTATTCGTCAGTCTGTTATCGCATAGGCTTGCTTGTGTAGACTACTAGCAATAAACACTAGATCACGCTACCTGATTACGTGATCCTCACAATCACTCAATGAAACGACCGTTCGATCATGTTCGGGTCTCAAACACGAGGTTGTTGATGCAGGTACAAAGCACTGAGTTAACAGAATGAAATTTACATTATAAAATATTCTTTTATGCTAAATGTACCGAGACATGTCTTCCTTTAATTCTTGACCAATCAAAGATCACTCTAATCAAACATACCAACAAAGTGCTATCAATTTCGGAGGAACTAGTCGGATAACATAAAGTCGCTGGTGCATATTTTTTTTATGTTGTGATATTTGTAAAATCCTCAATAAATTGCTCATCATTCTTCCATCGTCATCAATTTTTACTTAGTTGAAATATATTTTTATTCTATATTCCTGTATTTTATAATTTAGGCACTTTGTCGACTACGTGCACGTAGACGTTTACTATTAACTGGGACTCCATTACAAAATCATTTGAATGAATTATGGTCATTGGCTAATTTCTGTGTACCAGGACGTTTAACTTCAAGTTTAGAAGAGTTTCGTCGTCAATTTGTTATACCACTATTAAATAGTCGTAACTTAGTACAAAATGTTAAAAACAATCTTTACAATGATGATGATTGTGACTCTTGGAGTTATACAAACTATGAGAAGAATTGTGATGATTTAGAAAGTCCATCAGCCAAATTATTCCGACTATTGAACAGTTTCTTTTTAAGACGCACATGTGATGTCATTGCACCAAAACTAACTGATAAAAGTAAGTACTCCTAACTTTTAAAAAATTCTTTTTGTGTGAGATAACTCTGTAATTATATGCATATAAATTTAGTGGACATGAAACTCCCTGTTCGAGTCCTATTGAATTGTCGTGCACACTACTTGATGTATACCAAACCCAATATACAAGTAAAAACGCTTTAATAACTATGAAGGTTTAATTGCGAAGTGTATTTATAACGTACACAATTCACAGGAATATATACAAATATCCTTCTGGTTCAGAATTGGACACAGGGTGAAACCTTGTATAGGTGTATGGTTGACCTCTTTCCCTATAGCGTCGCTCGTCTATAACTTCTTACATATCGTTTGATAGCATATAAGCACAAGCGTGTGAAACGTCTATACACATCTAAACTATCATCGTGTTCTTAAATTATTTCACGTTCCTTTTCTTGTTAAGTTACCTGAGCTGAAGTTCGAAGTTGATGTAAATTCTTCATAATTAATCACCCATATACAGCCATAAACATTCATCCACCCAATTTCCTATTATCACACCTGACTGCTAACACTATATTCTAGTATTTTTGTGCTATGATAAAAGTTCATTATTTTATCGTAGTAGTGAATTTAATTTTATTGATCGGTTACTGATATATCTCTACTAGTTTATGTATAGGGATCATATCTAAATATTATTTATGTGGTACAGATAATTCTTAAGCATCTGTTATTGTGAATGAAAATTGAAAATTACAATAGTGTCACTGAAAAACTAATTAGTTCTGAGTAATTTCTTTCATATGAAAAGTCATACCTGTTACCTATGGACGGATTAAAATGTCACAGATTAAACCAAATTTTTTAGTCGAAAGATATTCAGAATGCGTGACTTGCACAGTTCACTACTAGATGAATTTTTTGTTTGCCATTCACGATTGAATGTGTGAACATGGAGAAACGCTTCTCAGACTACTCAATTGAGTTGAAACGTGACTCAATATCTGTGGTACCAAAAGATACAAGCAAGCATATAGACAGATACGTACGTTCATACACGCTCAAGTTCACATATGGGTGACGAAATGACTGGGATGATTGGGATCATTCATCTGCCCAAAAGTAAGGATAAATCGTGTAAGCGTGTAAAATGCTAGTCACTACAATATTCACCCTACATTTAACTGCTACACCCATTCTAAAAAATAATCAGGTAAAAAAGATAAGCAACATCTAATTATTCATCTAGAGAGCCGATATAGTATCAGATATTGATCAAGTCAATTCCATTTGTGAGTAGTGCAGAATATTGAACAGTTGTAACTCAGACTGTTAAATTTATTTTTCCATAAATGAACCACCAAGGACTTTTCAATGCTTGCTTTAGATTAATAACTAATAATAGACGATTGCGTAATCCCCATTCTGTCGAATTTGTATGCTTCAATATAAAAACTCGCGTTCATAAGATATATTACGTAAATTACCAATGAATGGAACGAAATTTTATATTATCTAAGCTAGAATCCAGACTGCTTGTTTTCACATATCAAGATTACCTTTGTGACTTTTAATCTCACTCCAATTTCTTTCTTTATGCAACATCTTAATAATATTCAGTAACTTAATTTATTTCTAATAATTTTTGAACACATTGCTCATATAATCTATTCACTATGTGATTGTTCCAAGTATTTACATGCATTTGTGACATTTAATCCACCATTATTGTAATCATATCTTCTCAAGATTTGTTTATTTGTAGAAAATCCCCATATTTAGTGTTGCGTAGTTCACCTTTCAATTTCTTCTGCCATTTTTGAATTGGATACATAGTGTCATTTAATTTATCATACGTTTTTGTAAATTGCTATTAAAAAGTCATTGTGAAAAGTATTTCCATTTCGGTCGTGCTTTGAAAATATAAAGGCTTTAGAAATGTCACAGTTTGAAGTTAATGTAAACTTTATTACTTATGTTCATTATTATTATTACCAATATCGTTTTTCTAGGCAATTCTTTTACTTTAGACTTTAGTGACTTTTACATGTAACTCAATCGTTTCGTCGAAGTCTTTAAACGAATTCAATGGGTCTGAATAAGAAAGGAAGTGGTATCACAACCAGGATATAATGTGCTTGATCAAATGACCTCGTCAGGTGTACACATAAAAAACTTACATCTAGGTACTGACTTGGTATAAAGTAACAATGAACATTCATTAGTTAAAAATAATTTTGTGCAATGAATGTACAATGAATGAAGTAAGGACAATTCCAGTTTATTAATATGAGGGCTTCGACTTTATGTCCCGTTGGTTCGGTGACTCAACAAGAGACTCACAACGTCCTAGATTCCAATCGAAGCCGGAACATGTTGGACATATTTTAGTTAAACCAATCAAATAGTGTCATTTGCTTTCACCAAAAAATAGGTGGGTCTATTCATCCAACTACATCGCGTTATCTTATTTATAACCAACAAAATCCTGCTTCACCAAACGGGAAAATGAACAACTTTAGAGAGACTGAAACGAAGACCTAGGGAAATTGTATCCAGATAGTCGTCATCCCAAAGCTTAGATTTATAAAAATAACCCAATTCTTGAGTGTTTCAATGACAAGTTTTTCAAACGACTTACGATCATGAGATGTTGGATCATTGATTCTCTGAACAACTTCAGCGCGTTGTTTGTTCGTTGTCTGACCATCTAATCGAAGAGATGGTTGTCCAGTGACTAGGTTACATAATTTCTCCAAAAGATTAAGTGTCTGGAATATGGTAAATGTAAAAAAGTACAAGACTGATAAATTGACTTATATTTTGAAGTATTGTTTTCATAACATATATGTATGTTAAAAAGAAAGCTGCAAGATCCAACAATGTTTATGCATGATCAATTAGCCGTAGGCTAGTATGAGACCTAGTACCAATTTGTGTCATTTGACAAGCCATGTCAACACAGTGATATGCCAGAGTAGCAGAAGTAGGATGGCGTGATTCTGTGAGATCTGGTCGTCTTAGATTTTTTTCTTCGTATATCTATGGGTCGGCACTACTGTAGAGTCCTATACGAATACAGAACAGCTACATAACTTTCAACCACTTGGTCTCATGTTGGAGTCGCGTTTCATCTGTCTCAGTCGAGGAAAGAAAATGGTATTATTATTGCTCATAGAAATAATATGATTCGAAGCTGTGTACATAAACGTGTACTTGATTATTCATTTGTGTTAATGGATTTATCAATTATTCATGATGATTTAAATATCCCATCTGCTCTTTCTCGAATAAAGATACGTTGATTGGTCACTGAGTAGTGACATATTTCATATTTGTCTAGTCCTTTAGCCCCAACCGAATTCTGACGATCAAGTTACAATTTGGCTACTATTTTCAGTGTCTGGACATCATGTTCATCATACTTTAATATTAGATAGTTGAATGTAGTCTGCAGGAAACCCTTGAGAGTTCAGCTACTTCTTGCTTACGTGTGGTAACTAGTACGAAACTGACGTTAAACAGGGTTTACTCTCGAATACTTCCAACCATCTAACATGAATAGATATTTTTCTACTAACAGTCTGCTTATTTGGTTGTTTTCAACGTGCTTTGTTCTCTATATATAGCTGAACATATTTTGTTTTGTCGTCCGAGTAAACTGCAGACCGATTTAGAAGCTATACTTACACAGTGGATGAATAATGAATTTAATTTAAGTCGATGTGAATCTCTCAAATTATTTTCACACGATGATGATTATGAAGATTTTGTTAAATCTGTGGAAAGCGTATCGTCATCACGTTCAAAACACCATAGTTCCATTTTATCAATTATAACAGCATTTCGAAAACTTCACAATCATCCATATCTATTAAGAAATTATTTAATACAGTCTAATTCTACACAAAATCAATCAGCTGATCGTGTAAGTTGTTACCATTCTTAATTAAGAAGCTTCAAATGCTGAGCTTTTACAGAATAGTTTTTTGGTCGTAATTGTCTTAGTTATAATTGTCTGATATATTTAGTTACTTGAGCTTTATATTTTATTAAAAATAAATGACATTTAGACGTATAATGATTCCATAACTTAAACATTCTGCTTCCAAATGTATTAAATCATAAGTCTACACAACTCGTTTCAATTAGATTATCTAGGTGATATTTCTAAATTTTGCATGAAAAGGTCCTGTTGTCTAATAAACGAATATGTACCTAGTCATACTCTACCCATTTACTCCATTCTAAAATGTTACTTAAAAGACTGCCACTTAATTGTCTTTATTCTGTATTTTTTAAATGCTCTCTGATGTTGAACTAAATGGTGCTATCATAATTTGAAATTCTTCATCTTACGTATATGTCACAGTCTCTTCCTAAGGCTTTGCTGAATCAATTTTGATGATCATCTCATTAGTGGTTACATGACTGTTATAGTATTGGGTTCCTCGTGAGGCTTGAGTGTTCTGGGCTTTGTCTCATATGAATTCCTGGGAAGTCACAAACGTAGGAAAAATAAATATTCTGCACATTCTGGTTTACGATTGTTTATCAGTGTATTTCAGTCTGTGTCGAAAACTACTTTTACATGTAATAAATCTAAAAACCACCTAGACAGATAGAGTCACTTAATATTATATATTAGCACTGTAATACATCTCAATTAATTTGATTACATATTTATAGTTATACTTCAGAAGTCAATTCGCTTCATTCTTAACACTGTAGGGCATCCGCAACTCCTCAAATTTTTAAAAATCATTTCGGTAAACTTGAGAAATTAGTATTACTGAACTAATAACAACGTAACTTGATACCTTGTTGCATCAGTTCTCTTACCTAGAATCCATACACATAAAGTTACAAAAATGAGCAACATAAAAAGTTAGATATAGGTTATGACAGTAGCCTAGATTTTAGGCCATGTTATCTAACATGTTCAATCACAGTGGTCTTTTATATCTTAAAACTGTTCAGCCTTTTGTATGATTTACACTTGTAATAAGTAACTCATCACGGCCATTTGTTATTTCCACTTTTTCATGCATTTCAGTTAACATTATTAATCGTATTAATTAGTAACTGAATTCATAACAACGAATGTCTTGAAAACACACATATACCGTTTGATACATACTCGAAACTCTTTTAATTGCTTTTTCTCATGTTTATCACGGTAGCTTGCATTTAATCTTAGTATTACTTACTTATATCTTGACGACATGAAATATTTATCCTTCAAGCAACCTTCAATCAAATATTTCAAACCTCTTATAAACAATATGGCAGATCATTCCCTGTTTTATAGCCAGGTGGTTGTTTCAACTGTCGTTTAAAAGTGTTAACAGGTTTTTGAGTTTTCTCAACATGTTTTTTAAAAAATCACTCCAAACTAAGTGTTCGAATAATCAACAAAATTGTCAGTCCTGCAAGCAGTGGTCTTTTTGAGAACAGAATCTGACAATCCTCCATACCATGTAAGTAAGTGCACAGTTTCCTCCAAATATTTACATCGAACAAAATTATTTAAACTAATTCCTTTAGTTGTGTACATTTCATCATTTTTCCCCTTCGCACACAGCTACCTACAAAACTGACTGCAGATTTGCTCCGTTTGTTGAATTCTGAACACTCAATAATGGCACAAGATCTCTGTTTTACAAATCTAAATGAATTTATTAAATTATCTGGAAAGTTGCATGTTCTTTATATCATGCTGAGACGACTGTTTGACAAACAACTGTCATCTTCGTCCACAGTGGATTTCCAGAAAAAATCGCGACTATCCAACAGTAATAGTAAAAATAGTTTACATATTAATGATCGTCTTGTATTAGTTTCCAATTTTACTCAGGTGAGTATTACGACTTGATTACTATAAACGTTGTTATACTATTCTCTCTATAATTTTATATTTTTTTATTTTCATTTTTATTTGAAAACATAAATATTGGTACAAGAGGGCACCAAATATATATGCGCCACACTTTGTGTGAGGTTTGTGATACTGCCCGGGTGCCCAGACCGAAGCAGGTGGTTTTCTTAGGGGGTCACACTCTGAGCCTTTGACCTGAAGGTCTCACCCACAAGGCAGTGGAGCATCGTGAGAAAATGCAGTCCCATGGTAGCCGGTGACCGAAAATTGGTTCATACGCCATTTGTTTCCACAGGATACTGGAGCCCATGTGCACCATTGGTTTGGGATCCGGTTAAAGCGCCGGACATTCGCTTTTCGTCCTCTAATTTTCGTAAACAACACCCCCACCCCGAGAAGGCAATGAGTAGGACTTCCCTGGCAGAGGCTGTATACGCGTGGCCGTGTGAGAGCGTTTCGAGAGGGAGGGCGGGCCCACCTCACTCTCGGCCATACCAGGGCATTTGGGGGCACCAATTTATATTACTTCGGTTTATAGGAGGCAACTATTTTATCCCAGTAATACTCAGAAGGTTAACACTGCCACTTGAGATAATAGATTTACGTATTTATGTTCAGTGCTTTTCGAAATGATAACAGTTTGTAGTAAAAACTGGATTCATACAGTTTCACTGATATAAAAACTTCCTTCTTTGCCATGAATATTATTATAAGTACTATCCTTTCCTCTTCACTTCTTTTCACCTTGTTAAATTTCTCTCTACTGGATGATACAAGAAATACTACCACCACTGATACTTCTGCTATTCTGGCATATCACTGTGTTGACATGGCTTGTCAAATGACACAAATTGGTACTAGGTCTCATACTAGCCTACGGCTAATTGATCATGCATAAACATTGTTGGATCTTGCAGCTTTCTTTTTAACATACATATATGTTATGAAAACAATACTTCAAAATATAAGTCAATTTATCAGTCTTGTGCTTTTTTACATTTACCATATTCCAGACACTTAATCTTTTGGAGAAATTATGTAACCTAGTCACTGGACAACCATCTCTTCGATTAGATGGTCAGACAACGAACAAACAACGCGCTGAAGTTGTTCAGAGAATCAATGATCCAACATCTCATGATCGTAAGTCGTTTGAAAAACTTGTCATTGAAACACTCAAGAATTGGGTTATTTTTATAAATCTAAGCTTTGGGATGACGACTATCTGGATACAATTTCCCTAGGTCTTCGTTTCAGTCTCTCTAAAGTTGTTCATTTTCCCGTTTGGTGAAGCAGGATTTTGTTGGTTATAAATAAGATAACGCGATGTAGTTGGATGAATAGACCCACCTATTTTTTGGTGAAAGCAAATGACACTATTTGATTGGTTTAACTAAAATATGTCCAACATGTTCCGGCTTCGATTGGAATCTAGGACGTTGTGAGTCTCTTGTTGAGTCACCGAACCAACGGGACATAAAGTCGAAGCCCTCATATTAATAAACTGGAATTGTCCTTACTTCATTCATTGTACATTCATTGCACAAAATTATTTTTAACTAATGAATGTTCATTGTTACTTTATACCAAGTCAGTACCTAGATGTAAGTTTTTTATGTGTGCACCTGACGAGGTCATTTGATCAAGCACATTATATCCTGGTTGTGATACCACTTCCTTTCTTATTCAGACCCATTGAATTCGTTTAAAGACTTCGACGAAACGATTGAGTTACATGTAAAAGTCACTAAAGTCTAAAGTAAAAGAATTGCCTAGAAAAACGATATTGGTAATAATAATAATGAACATAAGTAATAAAGTTTACATTAACTTCAAACTGTGACATTTCTAAAGCCTTTATATTTTCAAAGCACGACCGAAATGGAAATACTTTTCACAATGACTTTTTAATAGCAATTTACAAAAACGTATGATAAATTAAATGACACTATGTATCCAATTCAAAAATGGCAGAAGAAATTGAAAGGTGAACTACGCAACACTAAATATGGGGATTTTCTACAAATAAACAAATCTTGAGAAGATATGATTACAATAATGGATGGATTAAATGTCACAAATGCATGTAAATACTTGGAACAATCACATAGTGAATAGATTATATGAGCAATGTGTTCAAAAATTATTAGAAATAAATTAAGTTACTGAATATTATTAAGTACTATAATATTTTTCATAATAAATAATAATCACATGTGAACGAAGAATCTGGTGACATAATTTGATTATTGTTCATTTTTATGTCCTTAACTTATGATTGGTATTATTATCTTTGCCATTATTATTTTTGTGCTTATGATTGTTTTTGTTGCTGCACTTGATACCGTTTTGAGATATTTATTTAATATCCAGCCCTATCTACTCTGTGTGTCCTAATTCATATTGTTTTTCATAGTAGGTAATTTCTTATTTTTATTCCATTATTTTCTCTCTCCCCCCATGTTGAACATATTTATCCTGATCATTATTTGTCTCGCAATTTTGTTTCGCTTATAAACTGCTCCAAGTTAATACTTCATATTAGTCAGCCCCAACATTATTGATTTGATTTATTTTTATATGACAAACAGCAATCCTTGATTTGCATTTTACAATTTTAAATGATGTGCTTTGGCTTGAACCTGGTCAATTTCATGGTTCATTAATTTGGATTTATTGTCATAGAATCTGATGTGAAATTAATGAAAAGAATATTCTTCGTTCATATAATTGTGTCATAATATAATGGGAAGTTTTCAGCGATAAAAAGAAAAAAAAATGGAGTGGGTTTATAAATGACAAAGGGAATTTTTACGCTTGAAAACAAGCCGTGTGATTTCTATCTTAGTAAATATAAAACTTTGCTTCTGTTCCTTTTATTTGATCAATTATTCAGGTATATTACTGCTTAGTTCACGTGCGGGTGGAGTAGGTTTAAATTTAATTGGTGCCAATTACTTAATTTTGTTCGATATGGATTGGAATCCAGCAAACGATGCACAGGTAACTCTTTGTTTATTTTCTGTTCTTATAATTCAACCTCACTCCCTAAAATTCTGTTTATATAATAAGTTTTATTCAGCTTGAATATAAAGTATTTTAGAATCATGTAACTTACTAAGAATGGGTTTATAGACTGACTTGAACCTTGTAAATCGAATTAGACGGAGAAGTGAACTGTTGAAAATTCATGGTCATTAGTCAAGTAAATTTACTGATTATACGTGGAATAAAATTTCCGTATTTCCTTAATATATTGAATAATACAATGAATGCAACAATCAGTCAGTTGGTTGGGGTGTTTATTGTGATTCAGTAAATATACTAATAAAGAATATAAAATGTCAACTGGATAAGGGATAGTTATCTTGAAAGCGATTTCAGAGAATCCATTTAATGATTAAGAAAGGGAAAACATTGTGGAAACTTTTTTTGAACTCATAATCTTTATTTAGTTAGATGAATTCATATAGCTTTCTCTGTATCTCGAAGCCAAATTTCCGATGCATAATTTAGGTTGAAGTAAATTTTTTGAATAGTTAGTAAAATAATTTTTTTATATTTATTTGGTGTCCAGTGTTTACTGGATGAATCTAGTTACGGATTCTTATTGTATTTATGTAGTTCATACTTACCTTTTGAGAGCGATTATCAATAATGCAATGATAGGTTTATACATAATTTCTTTCGATGTTATGTCCTCTAATTTAAGCTGAATGATTTAATTACGGGGCCTTCATTTTTATTCTGGACAACATCTTCAGTTTCTGCTCCGGATAGATATGAACTTTTCAGTTATTCTGTGTTTTATCAGTTTGTTTCAATGACTTTGTTTGTGATTGACTATCTTCATTAATTTTTATTGTCATCATTTGTCCTTGTGTTCACGTTGAATACCCTTGTTGGTTGACCTATGACCTTGTGAATGGTCGATCCTTTTTGTGTTCCTTCATAGATTGGCTCTATATCAGTATGCACCGTTGATTATTCATTGATCTTAATCTCACACCCCTAGGAATTCTTTGACATCCTCGAAGTTTCTTTAATACAAAATGTGACGTTTCTCCAGTGGAATTCGTGTCTATAGTTGTCTGCACGCATTGATATCGGTAACTGTATATCATGTCGCTTAATCGCTAACCTGTGTTCATTTGCTCATAAATATGATTTTAATTAACCAACTACTAATTTTCAATATGTTGAGTTTTCCAGTCATTTAGCTTATTTAACCAGATACATTTACTTAAACATTTCATATAAATTCAACGTAGTATGCTTCCTACACTAATAAGTATCATAGTTTTTTTTAAAACTATAATTCAGTATTAACCAATTATCTCAGATGACTAATCAAGATTTACATTTTCATCTATTGTCATGCCTTCTCCAAACTGTATTTGTTCATCTAAATTCATTCAATAAGTCTACATGTGATTATCGTCATACATTAATCCGTTTTACTTACGAATATTAACAATAAATTCCTGAAAGATCCCAAATAAACGGATACTAAGTTACCATATCATCTTTTCTTTTACTAAACTTCAGTTACTCAAATTTCTACATGTTAAACTCTTCTTTTATTTCAGGCTATGGCTCGTATTTGGCGTCCGGGACAAACTAGATCGGTTAATTTATACGGTTAGTAACAGCAAGTGGTATGGAAGAACGTATATTTCAACGACAAGCAGCTAAATTAGCTTTAACCAGTCAAACATTAGTCAATACATCAATGTATAATGAAAATATTTTCGAATTTATTGAGACAAAAAAGAAACCTGATAAAAATCTTGGAATTCTTACTCGTGACGAGTTGAAAGTTTGTTGATATTGATTATTTTTGAAATAGTGTTACTGATGTTATTATTATGTTTTTTATCATTTAAGTTAGTTGTTGGCTTTGAAGTTAGCCGTCTTTCAATTTTATTACATAATTGATCTCCAAATGCTTGGGTTGAAAGATCCTGTACAGGATCTCAAGTTTTTAAAATTTTTCCACCAACGAGGTAGAATTCCTGTTTCAGATTGCAGTTCATGATGCTGCTGCTTGGTTTCAATAGATCTCCTTAGATAACTTATTCTGTCGTTGGATTTATCTATATAAATCATTCAACTATTTTTTTCCACTGTAGTTCTAGGATGCCTCAAAATGTAAATGAAGAGTCATTTCTTCACTAGGTAACAATTTTTTGCAATATTTAGCTATTACTGGGGCTCAGTGGGTCTTATCGTACTATGATGTAGTAGGGGGACCCATTCATATTGTCTGTTTATTCATGTTCTTCTATTCAATCTGTTCTTATCATGTCATCAGCACAATCAGTCATGTCGATTACTTTGTTTAAATGTATGTTTCAGTGTTTTCATAACTGAAGACAGATTCTCGTTGAATCAAGATCTAGATTACTTAAAATCAGATGAGTGATTTTATACCTCATTCAACTGTAAACCATCTGGTCAGTCAGTCGTAAGCCACGAACATGTGTTAATTGTTGTTGGATTTAGTGCTATGATGGATTTTGGAATTGTGTGATTTGTTTCAATTAAAATCATTGTAATTGAGAATCAAATGTAGATTCAATTTAAAATCCGTCGTCAGCTCTTTCCGTAAATCAACCATTTGAAATTATCATCTCAAATAAAATTATACCTGAACCCTATCCTTGTTTACTGACTATTTGTCTTTATCATGATTTAAAAACTGGTTAACGCCATTTTCTTATCTAAACAAAGCTACTTTGAGAAGAGAATGACATGTGTTATTCAAAGCATAAATTTGCTCATCTTTCTACGGTTCATGTTATCTGGGATTATTTACTGTGACTGTATTTCACTACTAATTATTTGTAAGTAGTACAAAGTGTATTACAAAATATGGAGTGATACATATTTTCTATTGTAACTTGTTCATTATTTCCTTTTCCTTTCAATGCTTAGGAATTATTTCTCCTTCCCAATACATCATCAGGGTCATGGACTCATGAACTTATTCAGTGTAATTGTAATCAGTCTCTAGAAAAGAAACCTTTCACCCCAAGTCCTTCTCTCTCATCATCATCAGACATTGAAAATTATGATTCTGCCGATGAAATTGTAGTGAAGACTTTTATAGATTATTCTCATGAACTTGACGATAAAGAGAACAGAAAAGAAGAAATCGAATCATCAGAACACACTACTGGTATTATCAATGATGAGAATGAAGACGATGAATATTCCAATATTAGAATATTTCAATTAGGTTCTACAAATCCACTTATTACTGAGAGCTTGAAATCACCCAAATCCCAATTCACCTATTTGAAACAACAGTCAGCTTCAATGCCAACGACAACTCATAAGTTACCATCATCTGATTCACTTGGTTTTCTATTGAATTGGAGACATTCCTTTTCATCTGAACAAATAGATCAGTTGAATGATCGACTTTTAATAACACATCAATCGGACCCTATGAAATCCTTAATAAACTGTATATTTACACTAAATTCAAAAGCATCTTAAGTATTTAGTATTTTTTAAGTTATCTTCATTATATCGACTAATTTTCTCACCTCTCTTCATGCCTTTCTTGGATAAAGACTTGAGTGTATTCATAAACAGTCCTATTTATAATGCATACCGTTAAGTGTTGTTTGTGTATTGGGGAAGATGTTCATTAAAATACATATTGTCCTTCAATAAATGAAAATGTGGGTATTGTTAGGTTTGTCGGGTCAAACGAAGTTTGAAGATTGTATTAGCTTTTCAGATTATTTATGTATGGAAAAATACAACAAGCAATAATTAGTTTATGCTTAGCGTACACTAAAGATAATAAACTCGACAGTAACAATATCAAAATCTCAGCGCATATATGCATGAAAGTGATCGATTCACCACGTGTGAAATAACAAATGAGGATCAACCACATAAGGAAACAGTTTAATCAAAATAGTACGAAAAAAGAATTCATCCTAATTACTCATAGGTAATGTAGTTGTGCTACACTAGTTCCACAGGTGTTAAAGCGAGGATAATTCGATTCACTCAATGAAAAGTGCTCAAAAGTATAACAAAAAGGTACTGAAGCCTTTTTGTGATTTATTTATCATTTTCTTTTGATCATTACTTTTATGTGCTCGAACTTAACAGAAGGTGTCTACGGGATTTATACTGTTGATTGAACTGGCATTCGGGAGGAAAACCTAAACGTAAGCTTCATCCAAGTCGACAGTTTTCAACAAAGCTTCCATTCAGTCTTAAAAGAGTCAGATTTTTCTGTATGACTAGGACGAAATCTGCCAAGTCAAGCAATTAGAGATGCTACTACTGCTGAGTTACTTATACTATTACCTAGGTTAATACTTGGTCGACAGAATCCTATTGATATGCAAGACTAGACAAGCATGACACTCGCTACCTCTCACTATTCAGTCAATGTAGGTTTAAAATTGAACTAAATAAACTTTATTTCTTCAGGGTGGTTGGAATATGCTTTCTCTGTGGTAAGCAACTAATTCTAGATGGAACAGTCAATCCTCTAATAACATCAAGCAGGTGGCGCTAGTAGGCTATCAATGAATAGTTTAACATAGTTCTCAAGTTCAACTATTGAGATAGTCTAAGGTCATGATCATTTATAATTGTGTTCACGTCATAGTTGCTGACGTTCGTTGATCAATCTTCTTGTTAGATAGTTCGACATAGTCGAACTATGTTAACCTGTATCACAGTAAGGTGGTAACTGCTAAGCTATTTGGTCTGTGACTGACGTGTGGGAATAGGATTCATACAACTGATCAATCTCTAAGTAGTGACCGATGTCACGTTTGCCTAAACCATATGTACTGGTTCGGTCTCAAACGGGTTCGAATCCCCTCAAAGGCAGCAGTTTCTTCAAGAATACAGGTACACCTTGCTGATAGATACCAACCAGCACGAAACGTAGGTTCACAGTTTCCTGTCGAAAATCCTCACCCAATTAACATTTCAACATAGTGCACTCAATGGCTAATCACTTAGAATAGTAGTCTTATTACAATTAGATCGATAGAATTCAATCAGCACTAATGGCTAGAAAAACCTAATATTGGCTCAACCAATTGTCAAATGAGCTACCACTTTTCGAGCATAATATGAAGCATATGATTTCGTAACAGATAACATAAGGATACGTGCAAACTACAATTTGTCTAAAAATTCCTCCATTTAACCTCAGCAACCGCAGATTTCAATCTAGCAGATACAAAAAGCAATCCTTACAGATGCAAATGACTTTTTTTATCTAAATGTCTTGTGGATGGACGGTTACATTCCTTCCTACTAAACGTTTTTGGCCCTTCTTGTTAACATACAATTAATTAGAAAAAATCAACAAGCTCTATATATATTTATCAGTTTTACTGCTCCTGTGGAGCTAGTCACATGCAAACTGACAAATACTCAAGTACAATTTTTATATTTCTGAACATAATCCTTCATAATGAATCAACGAACTAGCTAGATTTCTAGCCTCTAAAATGGTATTATTCTCAGTTATTTATCTATACATTTCTACCTACATTGATAACGTTCAAATATTTACTTCTTATTAAATTTATTAATCTTTAAATTCCTTTATAAGTAGTTCTCATATTTAACATCTATATTTATCATAATTTTACTTACATTACATTCTCACATTAATACAAACACTTAAGTGAGAAGTTGTTATGTCCCGATGCGAATTATGAATGGTAACTTTTGGGATCCATTTCTGAACTAATACTACACATATATTTTTATTGTATAATTGTTAAACAAGTAAGCTATTCGTATTCGTGTTCCTCTTATTCTAAGCTTTGTTTTGACTTATGAAGTGTTATTATACGATTTACCATTCTTGAGTTATGTTTTCTCTATCAATTACCATCTCCTACATTCACAGTCACTTTGGGCTAAGTCTTGTACAAATGTTTTTTCCTATTTTATGGCGCGACTTTGTCTCCTTGGTTGATTTGTAAACCCAGTATGTTTGAATTAAATGATTCATATCGCGGAGGCTGATATTGCTGTTCTGGACTTAACAAGTAAGGCTAGGTGAGAATCAGGACCGATAAAGATTCCAGACTGCTCGTACTTGTTTCATGCATCATTGGTCCGGTCGATAATATACCGTTCTCTAATTCGTGGTATCATTACGTCATATATTAATAGGATACATGGCACAAGTTATAACAGAAGCAATTTTAAAAAATCAATTTAAACAGAATTTATTAAAATCCACTAAATTGTGCATAAATATTTTTGAAGATAATAGACATTTTTTCGAAATGTAAAACTTGTTTACTTTTTATTCATTTAAGTAGTATAATCATATTTTATAAATAAACAATCTGATATTTTTTTCTAAATAATTCAAAATTTGAAATATCATTAAAATTGTGATTTTTTGAATTTGATTTATATTTTTTCAAATTATACCAATCATATTTTGAATTAATATTAAGATTAGATGTGAATTTATTAGTTTTTATTGTATCCGATTCATTACATTTATATTTATAAGTAGTATGATTAAACTGGGTATTAGTAATTAAAGAGGTTTGTGAATTCATTGTGTTGCCATATTCTACAAAAGAAGGAATTTTCTTCTGTTCATTACTATTGTTAGTATTAGCATTGCTGAGATCACCAGAGCTACAGTTTTTCTTGTGGAAATATTCCGACATTTCGACAACATCTTCATTGACTTTTTCATAATTCAGTGGTAAATCAGTAGTAGTTCTATGCACAAATTTAGCTTGATGACCAGAATTTTGGATAAATACTTTCTTCCCATAATTTATGAATGGAACGTTTGTACATTTTTTCGGAATTACATCATATAGATTACATAATGATAATCGTTTACAATAATTTATGATTGTAGTTAAATGTGTATTAAGATTTGATTTAAATTCATTTATACCAAATAACAGAATAATAGCTCTTATATATATTTCAATAAAATTTATAAAACGTAATGCAGACTCATAGTTACTTAAATAAATTTCATAAGGTTTTAATAATTCCATAATATAACCGATAGTATTTAATAGTCCTTGATCTGTTTGATTTTGAAAATCATCTAATTCATGATTATGTACATTAATACGATTTGTTACTCTACCTAAAATTTAACGTGAACATTAATGCGTTAGAATATAGATATATGTATATTTTAACAGTTGAGATTATGAGTCAAATGCAGCTAGACTACCATGAAAAACCTGGAAACACTAGGTGGCCGTCTCTTCCTATTGTGGGACGAATCAGCAGTGCGCATCCACGATACTGTCTCGTGAGATTCCATCCAGGACCTGTCAGTCTCGCGCGCGAACGCTTAACCTCTAGACCACTGAGCTCACTGGCATCCAACGATGTTAATATCTGACTTCAACTAATCCACAAAAGTCAGCGACACATCCACAATTGTGTTCAGTGAGTTACTATGTCATAACAGACCCAGTTGAACTCCACTGGTCACTGTTTTTCACTAGAACTCCATGAAATACCTCTTGAAGTCAGTCACTACTGAGCATATGTTGATTAAAATCACTATAATATCGACAAAACCCCTTCTGATATATGTATTTGATTATAATAATTCGTGATCAAAGTGGATATATTGACTATTTAAAGGAAAATATCTTTACAAACCAATGAATATACGTGGAAAATACAGTGATTAACGACCTTCTATTATATGTAAAGAAGATAATTTTAGTGATTGAATAGTAATGAAAAAGACAAAATATTGTAGATGATTAATTAAAGCTGGTTTGACATCATAATTTGAGTGGAGTGAGACTATTCAATCGACGATATCAAAACTATATATAGTTATGTTGATATAAAAAACGTACATTGGTTGATAAGAAGTGAATCTTTGCACGAAAATTTAGCAGATAATCTAAAATATATGAGATAACTAAAGGACTTGTAGAAGTGTCAAATTTACACAATTACTTGGAAGATCTAGACAAGTTATTGAAATCTCTAAACTTCCTTGCATGATGATTATAAGAAACATGTGACTGCTGAATATTCGTTTTAGTGTAAAAGTTTTGGTAATCTTATGTTTTCTTGAATTTCACACATTTTCAATATTCCGAAATGTTTGTGTACATCTTGGAAATCCTTTTGATTCAGTCTCATGTTTCTTATAGTTTACATCAAGAACTGAACCTATGCAAACATTGAGAATCAAGGAACATTGGAAAGCTATTTCGTCTTAGTACGCTACATTTTAATAGTGTTCATCCAAGATCCTATTGGAGACCAAACCAACATGTTGAAATCTTCCATCGAGTGTTTAGCATTCAGTCCATTGATGCAGAAACCAACGAGTTTTATTTATAATTTCAATTCATTGTCGGTATTACGCAATGATCTAATTTCTTTTCATATTTTCTCCTGATATTAGTCTCCGGGTAATATATCTTTACTGGAAATATCTCTTAATTACAACAACTTCATCGACCACGAACATGTGTCATAAT